GATCTTGATATTTTAGTTGGCCTTCTAGATCTCCCAGAACCACCTGTCCCAAAGTGTCCTGGAAAGCCCTGGAAACCTCTCATATAGTAAAGAAACCCAAAGTACTTACAAATGAAGATCTTTTCCCTCATCTGTCTAAACACAACAATCCAGTAACAGAAACATACACATATGCGCCCCAGGACTTGAAAGATTTTGACGTTGCAGGATCTTCTACTTTAATTCCTGATATGATGCATATTTTTCAGGCAACAAACAGAAAATCATAAACATGATTTGCTTTTGAAATGTATAACATTGTAAAGCAGTGGTGGTTCTCATCTTGTTAGTGATGATACTGAAAGAGAGTCACCAGCAGTCTTCTGGAGGAACTGAGAGCATAAGCCAGTTCCCTGTGCCTGACTCAGGTATAGATCTGGAGTAATTCCATTGAAATCAGTGAGTTATGAAGGCTTAGAAAAAGTGTAAGTGAGAGGAAAGTCAGGCTGTGCTGACATGGATTTCTTCAGCTACTTATAACTCATCATCCTCAGAAGCCAGAAGCATTCTAGGAACTACTGCGCTGATTCCATCACATCGTGTTTGAATCATCGTGGGAGATGGAACAAAGAACTCTGGGAATCATCTGAGGAAAACAGTCAAATGAACCTTAAGGGTAGTGGGAAAGAGGGCCCAGGATGAAATAGGGTGAGAAGCCTTTACCTGGATGTTTAAAAGCACATTATTCATCTCTCCAGGACTGACAAATGTCTGGAAACTGCAAAATAAAAAGGGAATGCATGACTTGTTCATTTATTTACTCCGGTTTATATTTCTGCCAGCAATTCTCTTATCAGGCTACCCTCTTGGAAGAGATGTTAGAGAGTTTACATTTCTGCCAGCAATTCTCTTATCAGGTTGCCTTCATGGAAGAGATGTTAGAGAGCAGCTCAGAGAATCCAAAATAAAAAATTCTCAACCATGCAGATTCCTGCTAGAATACATTTTCAAAGCTGCATATTTATTTTCTGTATATAAAATATGAACTCTTGTATAAAGGACTGCCACTGCAACGGAGAGACATTGACGTGGCAAAAATGCTCACACACCTTAGGTCTGTCTGCCAAGATAGTCACAGTAACACTTGGGGGATGCACCTCCCCATTTTCCCCTCCAAAATTGTACTTGCTAAATGGGATGTCCCCACATGCTCCCTCCTTCTCTCTCTGGGTGGCCCTCCCTGCACCCCCTCCCCACACAAGCACCAGTTGCCCCTGCTGGTTACAGTAATGTAAGTAAGGTCCTACTAAATCCATGTCCATTAAAAAGACATTATGGACTTAGAAATCTGGTCTCTCTCTGTGAAATCTTGTCTTTATATGCTTTAAGCCTATACTATACACATTTCTTGGGGGGGAACCAGCATTTCTCAAATTGAGGGTTCTGATCTGAAAGGGAATTCTAGGAAGTGGCAAGACAATTTTAGGAAGTTCTGGGTTTTGCCATTCTTCTTCGCTGCTTTCAGAGCTGGGCAGCCAGAGAGTGGTGGCTGCTGACTGAGAGCCCAACTCTGAAGGCAGCAGCACAGAAGTCGGGATAGCTGTACCATATCATGCCATCTTCACTTCTGCCCTGCTGCTGGCAGTGGCTCTGCTCCCTGCCAGCAGCTGCCGCTCTCCAGCCATCCAGTTCTGAAGGCACATCTGTCACTAGCAGAAGGGCATAAGTAAGGGTAGCAGGGCAGCAACAACCTCATGAGCCACAGACACACAAACCTCTTTTTTGGGTCAGGATTTCTACAGTTACAACACCCTGAAATTTCAGATTTAAATAGCTGAAGTCATGACATGTTCTATGACCATACATTTGACCAAAACAGACCATCAATGTGGTAGGGCTCTAATTATAGAATACACAAGGGTGGGGCAATAATTTCAATGAGGGGGGGCACTCCAAGATTTTGGCAAGTGGTCAAGGGCCACACTTCTATGGAGGGGGTATAGGGTTTGTGATGGAAGTTGGATGCAGAAGGGAGCTTGGGGTAGGAAACTGGGGTGCAGGAGGGTGTGTGGGGTCTAAGAGGGATTTTGGGTAAAGGTGGGGGCTGTGATCTGGGGCAGGAGCTTGGGGTGCACAGTCCAGGAGGGGTTAGGCATGCAGGAGAGGACTCTAGGAGTGGGTGCAACGTTGGGAGGGAGATGTGACCTGGTAGAAGGGGGA